GCGCGCGCGCCCCCCCCCCCCCACTGTGCTGCATTACTGCTGCTGCTGCTGCTGCTGTCGCCACAACATCACGAAATGGCGGAAATTGTTCCCGGTCGTTGCTTCTTTATTATTCAGTGTGTTTTTTTGTGCGTGTGTGAGCGTGCACACACATCTATCCGTGTGTCCGTGGGTGTGTGTGACCGTTGTGTGGAGCAGAAACACACATCTGACCTAGACACTCACACTCATCCCTGTGTAATGCAATGCAATGATACGGTCTGACGCGCGTGCACGGGAAAGGAGGTGGCGTTTACGCGTGCAATATCGGCAGCTCAGGGCCTGTCATGGCGTCACTAATTATGGTTTGGAAAAAAAATAAACAACAAATAAACAAACAATAAGAAGAGAGACCGCATGAGACCACGCGCGCGCGCACGGCGACCCGATTCTCTCAAATGTTTCATTCCTGGGTATAAAGACCACACACGCGCGCACGCACGCACGCACGCACTGAGACGCAGGTAGACGCATCTCTGGCGGGTGAAGGAGGTGAAGGAGAAAAATCTGAGAATGAAGGAGATTCACAGGTGCTTCTACACCTCATATGCGCGCGTAGACAGTGTCCACGCACGCACGCACGCGCCTACACACACATCCACACAGACATTTACCCGTAGTGCAGACAGGTCTATCTCATCCAGACTCCGCGCCGGGGAGTCGCTCGCCATGATTCTCTCTCAAGATGGAAGCTTCCTGCTCAACGAGCATCGACCGGGAGCAGGCGAGCACACGGGCACACGCACAGTTCCCCTCTTAAAATAAAAAATACAATAAAAACGAAAGCCAAAAAAAAAAAAAAAAATACCCCCACCCTCCCTAAAAAAAATTAAAAAATATTCCCAGTGTCGGTTGGTGGAAAGAGGAGGAGGAGACGTGCGCGCAGCTCCAGGTGCTGCTGCTACATGCTGGTGCTGCTGCTCAGTGCACGCCAGAGAGAGAGAGGGAGAGAGATAGAGAGAGAGAGAGAGAGATGAGGTAAAGGGAGGGAGAGAAAGGAGCGCTCATACGTGCGCGCCAGTGACGTGCTGTGAGGTTCATGGCTGTTGAGGCACTGACTTCTCTGGAGTCAGATTTACAGTTGTAAGAACTGAAAAGAGCATCATCTGGTACTGGTTCATATCCATCAACAGACCTCTTTCAATGACACTGACACCAACACAGGAATATATTTGTCCTTCAAAGAACGTTTCTTTTATACAAATGGACAGAGCCCGGTTCCTGTGTCTAAGAAACTCATATTTACTGTAAACAAATTAAAGTATAGAGATGAGTGCAGCATAAATTTCATTTTGACCTTCAGTGAAAAAAAATTAAGTTATTTTTCAAACCTTAAATTCTGGTCCTTTATCAAAGATTGTCCATCAATTTGATAATAAATATATATATGAGATCATATGATGATGAGATAAAAATATATATATTTTAGGCCAAAAATGAAGTTATCACATACTTGAATTTTTTCTACTTACTCCCAACTTATTAAAAAAAACAAAAAAACATAAAACCATTTCTAGCCTTATTTTTAACTATAGGTGATCCTTAAATTTCCAATTGTTTTTAAAGAAATCTGGCTTTGAATGTTCGTGGCTGATCTTTCATGTCTGCTGAGGCTTCTTTGTTAATGTTTCAGGTCACAGTATCCCGAGTTAGTCCACACGTTATCACACGATGAGAATAAAAGACAAGGAAATCAGTGACGGCGGTTTCTTACAGGACAGACACACAGCCAGTCTGTTCTAGGATATACTTTTCTATATCGTCAGTAAATATAAGGATTGTTATTTTAGGATTAATCAGTTAGCAGATGCTGCCTAAAAATGTAAATTATAACGGAGCATATATTGGTTTATTTCTTTAACTCTAGAATGAAGGCATTCACAAATGTTGTCTAGAAATAAAACACATTGAGTTTCTGTCACGGAGGAGCAAACAAACCACAAAACAGTTACATCTAGGAGGTGAAGCCAGCGACTTAGTTTTTACTACCTTTAATTGATCGGACAATTAATCATTGGTGAATTAATTACAGCCTCAAATTGTAGGTAATGAACTCTACAGATGAAATTGTGGTTTTGTGACGGCACCTAGTGGCTAAGCCTCGCCACTGCAGCAAGGAAGAAACGGACAGTAGGGGGTATTTCTGAGGGAACCTTTACATCTGTACAGTTTTGGTCTGAACTTGAGTTGTCAAACATTAGTGTAACACATTTTAATTTAATTGAGTCCAGAAAGAATCTAAATATAAAGTAATTTTTCAGACTTTACCTGTTTGCTTCTGCATTTTTGGGTCGCTGTGGAGACTTTTCTTCTAGAGGAGAGATACCTTCATTCTGTGAAGAATGACAGGAGACTAGAGAAAATAAAGAGAGAAAAGAAAAGATTTTGGATTAAAATTAGAGATTAAAACTCAACAACCCCAAAATAATAATTGTTCCTTCTTCATTAGATTCAACTGGACAGAACAAACTTTGTGTTCACACAAACGCTAAAATGTGGTTTAACTGATTATTTATTTTTTTAAATTTCATCACTTTACAATCAGCAACACAAGGTTTGATACGACACCACTTTCTTCTTCATCATCATCATCTTCATGAAGGGGGAAAGACGACAACAGTCTGTGCAAAATAGTGCATTTCCACATAAAGACACAGTGTTCAAAGGTAGACAGACAGGTAGGAGAAAGCGCGACACAGCTCGGGTGTAAACTCTTCTGGACTGTTTTTTTTTTCCTACAATCCAACATTTTAATGTAGTTATTGCACAAACAGCAAACTTCAAATCAGGTGACTTCAGTTTACATTAAACAGTGAGCTCAAGACAAAGACAAACCACAAGTTGAGCGGAAGAGCAGGAGGTAGAGAGGCAGGGAGGTAGAGAGGAAGTCAAAGAAAAGATCCCACTTCCACAGAAACCAGCAGCAGAGAAGCTTCAGGTGAGACAGGCACGAGGAGAAAAGTCCATGGCTTCAAAACAATAATTATTATTCTTCGGTCGGCTTTAATGGCATCCAGCAGCTGGTGCTCATGCTGTCAGCTACGGCACTAAACACAGTCATGCAAGTCATACACACAGCGACCTGGAAGACACTGAGGTTCATTGGCTTTTAAAAACATGGAAATCATTCCAGAAAATTAGAAATCCCGAGACAATGGTTTGACATTTTTTTAAATTTAAGACGTGGAAACGCTTTGAATTCAGGCGACATGTTAAAATGCTAACACACAAATCTGTGTTAAGTCATTTCAACAGGAAACAGAACATCAGGGATTGTACATCACAGCTGCTGGCCTTACTAAGAATTGATAATTTCCAGATTAATTGTTTAAAACTGCCACAGTGACACCAAATGGACACAAGGGGCAGCAGTAGACCAGCAGCTTCAGGGTCCGTTAGTCTGAAATCAAGGATTTTCTACTCTAGGACTTTAGGTTTCGCAGTTAAAGCAGTTTCCAAGTTTGGAAAAGTTTTCCAACAGCAAGACAAAGCAGCAGGCATCTTCACATCATAAAACAGACTTCAACTTCAACTGACATGCGTTTTTTTTATCTTCACTTTAGTCCAATGATTCCTAGGGATGCTCACAGTGCCGTCAACTCTTCTTCTACATCAGTAACCTCATATGGCTGACCTTTACCTATAAGCTGCACTAACAGGTTTTTCTAGCAGCACTAGATGAAATTCAAAACATTGAGTTGTTCAGGTTTCCATCATCCAGGGACTCAAAGACTCAAATATTGACTAGCTGTAGCACCCTTAATAAAGACACACCAGGTGATTTGTAACTCAGAAATGGCAATTGTTTTTGTGCATTGTGATAACAGAAAAATGTTTTTAATAACCCATTTTAGAACCTCTACTCCGAACGGACAAACCTGTTAGTGCAGTTTAACGTAGAATTTAGTTCAAATGCTAATAAACAATATACATCATGTAGACAATTGTCACGTAACAAAAAGAAAATCAAGAAAATGCTAAATATTGCCATGCAGAGTCCATATAATAAAATATATATGTATTTATGTATTTGTATAAATCCCTACAACAACAATATGTCGAGGAATTCATTATGAATCACGGATTCAGAAAATCAACCAGATCAGCTAATGTAAGGCTAAAAGCTAATGCTGCTAAGCTAACCGGGTATCTCGTCCGTCTTTGGCACTTGAGATTTTCTCCTCGATGTGACATTAAAAAAAATAGCTGCGATGGCAGCTCTGTTTTCTGTTTAAAGTCTTACTTTTTTAGTGTCTTTAAAACTTGGCACCGAAGAGTCAGAGCTGCGTCCCATGTTACTGCTCCACACGGTGCATAGTGTTGTCCTAGCACGGAGAACTTCATTTGAATAATAATAATAATAATAATGTAAAAAAAAAGGTTTAGTCGGGAGCGGGGCACCACTGACGTTGTTTCCTCTGTTTTTGGTGTAAATCTGACGCTTAAATATTCAGGTATTATAAAGCTTAAAGCGCCCTCTGTTGGTCAACCTGTTGTGTTGCATGTGTTGTGATGCACTGACTAAAACAATGTTTATGTGTCAGTGATCTGTATTGTCATTTTATTTTGGAGGTTCCTCCGGTTTTCTGAGGTGATGGAGATGCTTCCTGGATAAAATTAACGTTTGAAGCTCATAAGTTAGGTTCTTTAACTTTCTTAAACGTGCTGTTTTGTTGTTGTTGTTTTGTGTTTTAAATTCTAGGTTCAGATTTACTGTAGTGACACCATGTGCAGGAGTCCAGCAGCTCCAGTGACCCCGTGGAGTAAAATCTCTGATTTACTCAATGGACTTGAGTAAATGTGAACAGTTTAACAACTTGGAATCAATTTTCAGCTGTTAGATGTTAACGTCATGTTTTTCAATGTAAATACGTTCTGTGAATGAATGGAAAAACAGCTAAAGAAGTCTTTTTTGCAATCAATCTCACCATGCAGTTTTTTTGTTTGTTTTACCTAGTCATCATTGGAAAATATGATTGGACTATGAACAATCTTACTGATGGTAAAAAATACGTCTTTTAAAAAGTGGCTTGTTTTGTCCTACAGGCTGATGGCTGATGTTTGCACGGGAAAATATTTTCTGCACCACGATGGACATTTGCTGTGGAATTCTCTGCTCTTGTGGCTCCTCAGGTCCAGAGCTCCATGGGCGCCATGGCCTCCTTGGAGCCAATGGGAGGAAGCAGGTTCTGCTCGCTTAAGAACTGAAGAGGGAACTGGACCAGGAAGCCACGGATCTTCTTCAGCTCCTCGCGGGCACGGGCTGGGTCCTCCTTATCCAGACCTGGCTTGGCCAAAAAGCTCTCCAGCTCCAGCATGTTCCTGACATCGCTGGATGGCAAACACCGAAACACCTGCGCACATGTGTGAAGGCAAATTGATAAACTGCTTTTTGGACGTCAAAAGGTGACAGAAACACACGTCTAAATGATGGCTAAAACATGTCTTATTGCACTCCACCTTCTGGTAGATTGTGGCATTGCGAGCACAAGTTGCCATCCAGACCTCCTTGTAGAAGTGGTCACTGATGGGATCTGAAACATCAATGGAGGCATCCGTGTGTGCACCGAGGACAGTCCTGGGGGGGGACAACAAAAGGGTTCAGTGCGTTGGCTTTAGTGACATCTATAGGTGAGACTAAAGACAGCAGGGAACTGGTGATTTTCCAAAATATGTATTTAAAAAAACATATTTAAAAGGTTCATTTAACGCTACCAACATTCATCAGTACCTGAAACACTCCAGCCTCAGCTGCAGAGCGAACCTCCCTGCCTGGTAAGGCAGACCATCCATCAGAGACCCCACCATCTCTGAGTCCTCCACGATCACTGCCACTTCACTGTCCCTCTTTCCCAGCATGCTCCTGTCATTGATGTTGGCAGAACCTTAAAAAAAAAAAAAAAGAAGAAGAAATGCACAAAAGAGCTCATCATAAGGTTCCAGCAGATGGCGCTGTACCACTTCATGGCATACAGAGTAAACAGAAAAATAATAAATACTTTATATTTGGAGTATATACATAAAAATGACCCAGTAGGATTCGGGGAAACCTGCTTTGAAACTACAACCACGTGACATGTGCTTTTTGTCTGAACACAGCATACCTGCTTTGAAACTACAACCACGTGACGTGTTTTTGTCTGAACACAGCAACTATTTTTAGCCCATGTGACATAATCAGCAGCAGGAGTTTAGACTAAATAATCCTTAAATCTCACAACCTAACCCTGTGTCAGTCCAATGCTTTGATAATTTTTGTCTTTCATTTATGTCTTTTTTTATAATATAATTTTTACAATCAAATCTAAAATGGCCTATTTAAGCTTTAAGTTGTAAACTTTAAGCTTGAATGAAACTCTGTGTGTACTTTATGGCTAACCTTAAGCCACATTTGAGTTTTAAATTTTGGCCTGATTTCCACTAAGTTTGGGCTGTTTTCAGAAACCTCAGACTAACCTTTTTTTTTAAATCTAATTTTGGTAAACCTGATCCTCTGACTGCTCCTGTCTCCAGCAGATTTAAGAAGAGTTTGAAAGTTCAAACATTCGTTTATTTTATTTACCAATGATAACAGTGTTGTCGTCAGCGATGAGCATCTTGCTGTGGACGTAGATGAGCTCAGTGACCAGTCTTCCCTCCAGCTCAGCGTGCGTCCGCAGACCAGTGATGGAAATGTAGTTGATCCACTGATCTCCCACTGGACACAACACACACAGGGAATTTTATATTTTTCCCCACTGGACACAACACACACAGGGAATCCAATTTATTGTATTCTTTTTCTACAATCCTCATTAACTGCCAGTATTATTATTAAAATATATGTAAATACTACTACTGATTCTTAGTTAGTTTTTTTGTCATAATGTGTGTTTCTATGTCCTATATGTTGTTATAATGTGAATGAGACATTAATCAGATTTTCCAGTGCATATACAGAACTCACATTAAACTTTCTGTGCATCACATCTCTACTCTGTTTTTTTACAGACTTACTCTCTCTGCGCAGCTGTGAGATGATGGAGTGATCTCCTCGGTTCATGGTCCTGCAGGAACAGAACAAAAGCTGAACTTCCACATCTCTCTCTGTCCACCAGTCATTGTGTGTCAGTGTGTTTGTGCAGGGAGGAGCTCGGTGTTTACTCAGAAGGAATTGCATAAATGTATGAACACACACACCTATGTCCACACACACAAACAGGCTAATAATTGTTATTAAGGTCAAGGAGCGGCAGCTGAACTATTGACGCCTTTACCTTCATGTCAACAGCAGGGGGCTCTGCTGGCTGGGAAAAACAAACAGACAAACCTGTAGTTGAAGTGCATGACGGCCTGGATGGCCGTGCCTCCTCCAGTGTTGATGTCTCCTTCAAATCCTGGCATCAGAGGAGTGACCACGTACACTCTGTATCTTTTCCCTTCCCTTATCGACACAGAGAGAGAAATCGGATCAGTCAAAGAAGTCAAACTTTTACCTTCAAGTTCAGTGTGTGTGTTACCTGTAAGCTTTGATGATCCGCTTGGCAATGGCATCTCCGATTTGGTTGAAAACGTGTCTGTTGTCGGCACAGCTGATGAAGAACTGATTCTCGATGTAGATGTAGTGTTGGCTGTTTCTGATGACTTCAACGTAGGCGTTGTGGATGGACTCTTCATGGTACTTGATGCCAGCGGACCAGTCTGAGGCTGATCTAAGGATCTGGGAGACACACGGACCTGATCATGAGTTCACTACGTGATGAGACAGACCTGTGACCTCTGTGCTCAGACGGTACTGACCTGTGCTTTGGTGGGGACACAGTTAGGGACCTGGTACTTCATCTCTGAGGCTGTGGTGTGAGATTTGGGCAGAAGGAAAGGAAACGACAGAGAGCGATACTTTGGCTTCATCATCTGGAACATGAACGGGAAAAAGGAACAGTTCAAATTATGTTTTTTTTGACTGCAGGGTGATTACAGTAGAAAACAACGTGACCTCTGACCTTGGTGAAGTTCCAGCGCTGGATAAAGTGCCTGGCTGCGTCTCGAGCTGCGCTGCCGTGAACCACGGAGGAGATGTCGTGCCAGGGCATTCTGGGAGTCGTGTGTCTGTCGATGAAGTCTGACACAGAAAGAAGAAAAAAAAAAAGGAACGTGTGAATGAGGAGACAAAAAATAAATACATTCTGTAATCAAGTCAAAGATGATTCACCATCAAAAGGTTTGTCCAGCTGGATCCAGTCCTTGTACACAAAGTTGCAGTAATCTTTCCCGTGCCAGAATCGCGTGTTTCCATACAGCTCCCCGACGCCAGTACGGAGACCAGGATCAGAAGTAGCCTCTAAAAGACACAAGAACATATTGAGATGTTAGAAAACAGCCGTGAACAGAGATGAAAACAGATCAAATATTGTCATGCTTTTGGTTGGTGCCCTCCCATCTGGACAACTGACATGTGTGTGTCCTCAGCTGTAAACTGATCAGGGATCAGTGAGCAGAAATGCACCAGAAACGTCACTCACTCTCTTCTGTCTCTAGGTCGCTGTCACTGTCAGACGGAGCCAGACCATGTTTCTGCAGGTGTCTCTTGATGCTGAACCTGGTTCGTCTGATCCTGCCCTGACCCTTCAGCTTGGGCTGGTCCCCTGAGTCCACTGTGAACACGGCTCTTCCGTTACTCTGGGGGACAGACGCAGCCAGACTGGAGGCAGACACAGGAGCGTTTGCCTGGAAACAGAACCAACAGACGAGGGTTTGGTCCGAACTCTATATATAACTAATACATGTGATTAAATCGGCGTGCTCGTGTTACCTGCTCCGCATGAGAGAGCGTCACACTTCCAACGTCCGTCAGCCGGTGTTCCCTGTCATCCCAACGACCGTACGCCAGGTCGATTCCGCCCACGAAGGCCACCGATTGGTCGATGACGATGATCTTCTCGTGATGGGCCCACAGGTAGACGGCGGAGGAGACGTGGTCTGGGTGTCGCATCACCTGCACGGCAAACGTGTCACTAACCTCACACACACTGACACCACCTGGTGTCCAGACACTGACACTGGACTGACCTTGATGTTGGGGTGAAGATGCCGCAGCATCCTCTTACTGTATCCTGAGTTGATGCCCAGAGCTATCTCCACCTCCTTATACAGCATCACAAAGATACGAACTCCCTGTTGCTGTATGAACACACACACACACACACACACACACACAGTGTTACTCTCTGAGACAGATAATTAAAGTACAGCTTTAATTACAGTTAGGAATGTTTTCTGGACACAATCCAGAAAATTGTGCCACTATTCTCACAAATTATTTACTATTCCTAAATCCACTTTTCGATAATTGTTGTTTATGCATTTTTTAACTTAATGGCTTCTTAATTTGAATAGCACCAATTTTGCTGACTCACTGCTTTCCGCTTCAGGATGCAGTCAAGACGCCAGCGGTTTCCTTCAACAACCGGCCTCTTCAGGAAAATCTCTGGACTCAACCTGAGAAGGAAAAATACAATTAGGGACACAGTGTCACGTGATTGGTCAGAATCTTCCGTCAGAATCCAAAATCAATCCCCGTTTAGATCACCAGGAGTACAGAAAGTGTTATATATAAGATAATGTGAGACACACACACACACACAGTTCTAGTCTGTGTGTGCGTGTGCATTTGCATAATTGTCAGACTGTAATTGATCCGTTTGACCAGGAAACCTCCTGTAGAGGTGACCACAGAGCGCACTCACTGAACTCTGACAGACACAGACACAACGACAGACACAACGACAGACAGACAGACGGACAGACAGACAGACGGACAGACAGACAGATGGACAGACACAACGACAGACAGACGGACGGGCGGAGGGACAGACAGACAGACCTACCACCAGTCTGTGATGAAAATCTCTTCTTTTGCTTCTTCCAAAGCATCAGCCACGTCCTCCATGTATGTCTTCCCATTGACATACCTGTGAAAACACACAAATACACCAGTCAACATCGTCATGACGACCAAACTACAACAACCACAAGAGAGTTTTTATCTTTGAATCTTCTTTCTTTACAGATTCAGCCTCACATCAGTCTCAGTCCTGGATGCAGTGAAACATCTTCACATCATTACACAACAATCCCCCCCCTGACCCTCCGATCACCCCCCCCACATTAGTGGAGAGTTTGGTCAAATCCAGTGGAGGACACACACACACACACACACACACAGAGTCCCACAGACAGTATTGTGTTGCTCTGCAGGAGAACAGGTGACAACCCAATGAGTCTCACTTTCCCTGTCTTTGTGTCAGGTTACTCCAGCGAGACACACACACACACACACACATATACACGTCTAACAGATTAACACAATAAGAGGTGAGGTTTTTAGTCACCACTCATGCATCTGCTGGTAAACGGTCAGTAGGTTTTATATCACTGTTGTCATGGTTACCATTTGGCTGCAATGTTCTCTTCAGGTCTGGCGAAGGATCCGAAGCGGTGGTCGGTGAGGAAGGCCGTGCCGTGCTTCTGGACGAAGGCTTCGATGGACTGACCCCACCAGCGGGCGTGTCTGTAGCTACTGCACTTTAGCACCAAAGACCTGCAATCACAACACAGGAATCTTCTTTATTTATATTTAGTCCAGTTAGATAAAAACAATCAGTTTACGTCTGAAATATTTATATTTAGTCCAGTTAGATAAAATCAGTTTACGTCTGAAGCTTTATCACAGACCTTGAGAGACTGTCTATTCTGACTCCATGTTTGGTCTCCGTGTCTTTTGAGTCCATCTTGATGCTGAACTCTTTGTCCATCAGCATCACAAATGAAATGGCACCAGAATCTGGTTTCATGTAGAGCAGGAAGGAGTCCTTCACCACCAGCCAGCTGTGGAGAAGCCCAGTTTGATTTGAGTGATAAGACTTCTGATCTGCCACAGTAAACGTCATGAACAAAGGCACAGATTTTACGACACGACACAGGATTAAACAGGTCGCTCCTGTGTCTCTGTGATCACATGATAAAATCACAGTTTTCCTCTTTGACATAGGAGAGCGCCGGCGTTTCAACAGTAAAGTCTGTCTAACAGTGATATCACATCATAACTTCACTGACCGTTTGGACCAGCGGTAGCAGATTTTACTGTGACCACAGCAGTTTAGTCCAGGGATACGATGACCTCCTGACCTCTTCAGCACCATTCCTTCTCTGAAACACAAACACAGCTGATCATTTACAAAAAAAGGATCTATTTTGACAAAATTATGTTTTTGTACATCATTATATTATTTGGCAATAATGACCTCTAAGTGTTTAACGGGTTGTTTTCTAAGAGGAATTTTGTTTCAAGAAATGTTTTTTGCAAAAACAAATATATATAAAAATTAAATATTTATTTCTGTCCAGACAGTGAGCTGCTCTTACAGGCCTTTTGGCCCCAGGTCATGGATGAAGGACAACTGGCTCACATCGATGAACTCCATCTGCAGGAGAAACCAAACCAACACGTTTATTTATCCTGTCACCGTGAATAAAACTCTATATTATCCAGAGATTGTAGACAAAGAGTTGTCCTCACGGTGGCGTGGTAGTTCCTGTACATCGAATTCTTCAGCAAAATGTTCAAGTAATCTTCGAGTTGTTTCTGGAATGGTAAGAGAAGAACTGAAGTGAAGATGTTGAAGATGAGCGGGTGAGAAAGTGAAAACTGAAGATGAATAATCGGACCTTGCGGCTGGAAACTTGCTCCTCTCTGCCCAGCTCGTCTCCACCTCCTCTGGGAAGGCTGGGCATCTGCCGCGCCTCGTCCTTCTCAGCCGAGCTCCTCTTTATTGTGTGACTGTGGAGACAAAAAAATGATGAAGATTTTCAGACACCGTTTATTGTGTGACTGTGGAGACAAAAAATGATGATAAGTCATTTTATGAGATCTAAAACACTGCTGCTCTACAGTTAGCACCATAACTGAAGTGTAAGTTTCTCATTTTGAGGTTTTACAGCATTGGTTTCTTTTAGTGACAATAACTGGACTCAGGAAGCAGCAGTAGACCTGCCAAGTTCATACGTGTTCCTGTCAGACAGGGGACAGTTACAGCACCGTCCACCCTAAACCCTGGTTCCTTAACCCACGAGAACCATCCCATCATCCTTATTCCAAAAGGGAGTAAAATTAAAATGAAGCCAGAGGAGACGAGGCATGTTGGTTCTACCTTCTTGTCGGCAGTGGAAGCCTCATGAACGCTTTGTAGGTCCTAAGTTCTCTGTGGAGCTCCATGAAGTGTTTCTCCTTCTTCTTCACCAGCCATGTGAACTCCCCGTGTTTCATTTCAATCTTAAACACTGCTGGCATGGACTGCACACACACACACATATACAGTAGCTAAATATCTTGAATGCTTATTTCAGAGGTTTATTTTTTTATTCCCAGAAAACCCCCAGGCCTACTTTGTTGACGCTCCTCTGAGTGGTGATGTTGAATGGATCCTCGGCCGACGTGAACTCTCCACCTCCAGGATCTTGGCAGTGATGGGAGACGACAGAAAGACTTTGGCCTCAGGTTCTTTAAAACCCACAGTGTGGTAGACCACAGAGAACGGCAGATGTTCTCCTGGTGGAGGCAGAGACACTCATTAATATACACACACACACACACACACACTCTTCAGTAACCCTACAACATGAACGCCCATCACCCACTTGTGACATTGGCGTCAGTCGTGTCATAATCTCCATCTCCCAGGTCCAGTTCCCTGGAGTCCAGCTTCTCCATGATGTCCGTCATATCGTTGGCGACCAGCTGCAGGGTGCTGGAGGTCGCGTCGGCCGGTTGAAGCATGGTTAGCACTTGGTTGAGAGCCTGGGGCTCACCTGGAGAGAGGGGTAAAGACAGAAGAAGGTCTTTTTTTTTAACCGGGTGTGTGTCATGTGGAGCTTGGCCACCAGAGGGGGAAATCCAAGAACCATGGATGTTAGCCACTAATCAAACAACAAAGAAGAAATGTACCGACATCGTCACGAGTTTCTGATATTTTTATATAATAAAATCTATCTATTACATCTCATACATGAACACCTTCACTCTTTTAATTAAAGTATATAAAAATACGAATGTTTCCTCAGAGTTTCCATTGTAAAGGCTGAAATGTAAACTTCCGAGTCACAGCAGTGCAGGTTACCACACAGAGTTATGGCTCACGTATACAGTTTCTGCCAATAAATCTTCCTACATGTCAAACAGCACACCTTAAACTGACGCAAGAACCAGAAGAACGAGGGATCAATCATACGAAGGCTGCACAAAATGTCCAGTGTCAGAAAGTTCTAGAAGGTGAAGCTTTGTTTGACTGCAGAACTAATGAGTAACTGACTCCACTCTGATAAAACCCAGAAGAAAGTCTCACGTGTTCATTAACTACGACAACGGAGTGACCACAACACTGGCCGGGGTCCGTGGACGGGTTTTATCTCGTCACAGGTCATTTGTGTGTCCACGTCCATGTACCTGAGCACACACACACACACACACACACACATGCACGTGGACAGGCTCGTGCAGCAGGTTCAGGAGTCAACATTTACTTTGCAGGCTCATTTCTTTCTGTGTAATGTTAACATCACACGGTGCAGACTGTACAGTGAACTCTCAGGTCTGCAACTTTCAGATTTTTTTTTTCTAATGATTTGCTTTCGCTTTTTCCACCAGTGGTTTTTATACACGTGGTATCGTGGGGGTCGATTATTACATTTTGTTTCTGGCTAAGAAACGGTGAACGTCAGTTTCTCAGTGTTGAATGTTAGCTTCAAACTACTGCATAATAACAGACTGTATCGTGCTGTGAACTTTGTGGACTGCAAGCTTTCAATTTTTTAAATTTTTAATGAATTGATTGTACTTTTACACAAGCAGGATATACACACACACACACTCACATTTGAAACTGTGAAAAGTTTCCTCTAATTGATCTGAAATGAGACAAACCAATGGATGGATGAATAATGGATGGCTGGATTCTTTATGGACTTTGGTGTGAGAGAGGTGTGTCCTACAAACTTCATATAACGATGATAATCTGAACTGTATTGATCCCATATTTGTGAAATTCCTGTGTTAGCAGCAGATATGCTGTTAACAGGCTGGCCCCTAGTAGGCGCCAACCATGTGGTTCCTCTGGGAATCGAACCTACTGTAGAGATGTAACGACTCTGTAACGTATTAATACATGTTTTCTATAATTGATATTCTACATTGCTCTGTGCAATAATAAAAAATATTTCTTACTTCTACATTGCTCTGTGCAATAATAAAAAAGATGTCTTACTTCTCAGGTTAGGAAACTCAGCAGCATGGACTTTATTATTGACCACAGAAAATAACTTGGTGGGCCGTATTTGGCCCTCGGACCTTGAGTTTGACACATGCTTCAAGATAACTACTGTACTACAGTAGATGAACTCTGTTCCCACATGTCTCTCCATGTTTCCTGTCACTCGTCATCACCCGTATGAATCAGACTCCACCTGTGTAAACGCCTCAAACAGTCATTCTTCAAAAACCCTGTACTGGTCCTTTAAAGATAACAATGGCTCAGCAGGTCATGTTTTTCTTCCATCCCACACAGTGACTGAGATAAATGTGTGTGAAAGTGCAGCTAATGGTGAATGGACAAAAGCTCCTGTTGAAACCAGTCAAATGGGGAATTAGTGAGAGAAGGAAAGGCAGGAGCAGAGAGAGGTGAGAATGAAAAGAGAGATTAAAATAATGAAATGAAATGAGATGGACATGAAGGGACACAGAGCTCCGACGCCTCACGGATCACACTGTGGCCTGGTTCGTATTTCACTGTAGCTCAGCTTCGTCTTCGTACGCTCACTGTGTGTGTGTCTTCCTGTGCTTTGAGTTTTACAAAAACCCAAGAAAAAAAACCCCCAGGAGAGAACACTGCAGAACTTTGTCCTCTCAGGAAGTGAAGAGTAAACAACTCTAGAGTCTGGACGGTGGGTGATGCTATGTGGGTGATAGCCCACAGACTGCACTAATCAGTGTGAGTGCTCAAAGGAAACACACACACAAACCTTTTCTCACTCCTTTGATCATTTGACTGATTGTTGCCAGTGGTTTCAATAGTTCAGATAAAAAAAAATCATGTTTAAATCCTGATTTACACAAAATAAAAAGGGACATTTAACCTGAAATAATGCATTTCTATATATATATATATGTATATATTTATATTATGTACTACTATTTAAAATTAGTTAACTAAATTTTTAATATTACTGTATTTTCCAATACACACAAACAAAAACACACACACACACACAGGTGTTGAAACTGTAAACCACAGTCTGCAGGACACTGTATTATACAATAGCAGCAGAGGCATGAATATCCTTTTCTCTCTCACACACACACACGCACGCATGAATGTTTGAGTGTGTCTATACACACACACACACACACACACACATGGACTGACCTGAGCCCACCAAGGCTGAGTTAAGCCCTCCTGTATCATCCTCATCCTCTTCTTCTCCTACTTTTCCTCTCTGTTAACGGACACTTCACACACTCACACACACTCACACACTCACTGCACTGAGCTCAGACTGTGTAACAGACTGTCAGGTTTCCTGACAGCACATGCAGCAGGAGCTCGGGCAGCAGAGGGGAAAACTCAGCCGGGGGCGGGAGAAGGCTGGCAGGCGAGAGATGTGATTGGCTGCAAGTTGATTCAGGAGTGCACAGAGAACCAATGAGAGCGAAGACGGAGAGGACTCCTGTCTGAGGCACCTGTCTGCGTCTGCGTTAAAGCTGCTGCTCCATCTGCACACATCTGTTGACCCGGATGAGGTGATAAATCACAATCATCACCAACTGATTCATCTCAACTTCACCGTAGTGTTTAGGAAAGAAAGTAAGTGACAGAAAACTCATCTCAAAAAAAGAAACTGATTCATCTCAACTTCACCGTAGTGTGAAGTTGAGAACCTTCAACAGATCAGTCGCCTCAGTCCTGTTCGTATGTCACCTTTAAAAATGTAATTTAATAAAATCTTTTCTCATCTGATCTCCAAAATCTGACCACAGGAGGCAGCGTTAGACAAAAGAAAAATCTAAACGACAACTTTTTCTCGACTAACTTTGGTGGAGGTTTCTTTCCTTGAAGTTATCCAACAGTGAAATACTGTACATCAGGGGCCCATTAGTATTCACTCTGGGTGCTGGTTCCATTAAAGTGTCTGGACTCCGTGCCAGTCTCCTGCTCTGACTGCTCCAAACAGTAGCTTTGTGCAGCGTTCCATTAAGGTGACTTTCAGGCTGCAGCTGGACGAGTCCACAACTCTGACAAATGGTTTCTCTGAAACTATTTCACTGTTGCTGCCAGTTATATCATCCACAGAACACTTTCTAGATTAACTTTTTCTTCATCTTACATCCTGCCAAGTCACTGCCAGAGTAGCTTTTTTCAATTTTTTTTTTAAATTATCCCTTTTTTTGTATTCAAGAACAGTTCTTTGATTAACTTCATATAAAATGTTGATTTAAATTTGGCCCAGCGTGTGTCCACCATGATCCTGGCAAAACAACTGATGGGTGAAGAGGGCATTTGTGTTCTGACCTGATGGGGTTTTCTGTGTATCTGTGCAGTGAACAAGTGTAGACAGAATATGGTGTATTACACATTATCATCCATCTACTGCAGTTGGTTTTGTTAAGTGTGTGCAAGTGCGTACACGTGAGCACTCACATGTGGGTGGGAGTCTGAATGCTTTGCTCTTTCTCTGGAATGTCAACAATGATTCTTGTTGGCTCTGTCTGGTTTTGAGGCGAGGCTCAGGGCTCGGCCAGAGTACTACAGAGAAGTCCTACAGTCTCACTGGTTCAGCCAGTTTCTGTATGAAATAAAATGAAATATTCTACCTGCACAAAATTATTAAAAACTCCCGACTGGTCAAACTCATCGCACATTCACACTGCATTGTGAAATAGATTACTCTAACATGGCACATCGTACTTAAAACATGCTAATATGGATAACACTGAGTACAGGAAATGCAAAAATGCAAGGCACTTATGGTATGTGCACTGTAGCACAGTGTAATACTTTACATTGTACTTTAGTGACATGCTAATAGTGTGCATTATTATTCATTAGATCATATGATCATGCATCGTGTACGCCACATCATAGCAAATGTTGTCAATATATGCATATACATGTGTATACTAAGTTTGCATTGTACACATGAAAAAAGTACACATTGTACCTTAGCTGTGTACTACCAGCTTGAGCTGACAACACAACAGCCCACCTACTGTAGGAGATGAAGATCTATTCAGGTGGACTGGGTCTGAGCCAAGTCTCACTCTCACTCCTGTGTCAAAAACCACGACTCTCTGTGATGAACATATTCTCTGCAGTGATAGGAGACAACAAGTCTGTCCCAGAAGAGCGGACTACAACCTGCAGCTAATAATTAACCCAATATTGACATCATTTATGATTTTCCAAAGTCTTCACAACAACAGAATCTTGAACTGTGTCAGATATTTGTGTTTTCACTTTAGTACGAGGCCGCGTGTGTGTGTGTGTGTGTGTGTGTACACTGTTTCCTCTCGGTTGTGTCATCACTCACCAGGACTGCTTTTTTGAAAGCGGTGTCTAATCTTTGATGACTGGTTTGAATGTGTTGCTGCCATCTACTGGTCACCCCTAATCACTGCACCTCTACTATCAGTTTTGATGACAGTTCAGAGTTCTTTCCTGGAGTTTCAAAATTACTTTAATCAAGAGCTCATAAATTAAAATGATTCATGATATAGGACCAAACTACAGTATTCATAATTTACTACACACTACATACACATACACTTAATTTAATCAATAATCAAGAGCTCATAAATTAAAATGATTCAGAATATACGACTAAACTACAGTATTCATAATTTACTACATACTACATACACTTAACTTAATCAATACAAAAGTAATGATGTAAACTCACATCACACAGCACAGTATATGAAAAAGGGTTGGACAATTGACTCTCTAAATTAACTCTTCATCTTAACAGATGACCTTTGACACCAAAACTATCTGCTGCTGCGGCTGAAAGAATTCAGAGGTACAAAGAGCCTGGATTTTCCAGTTCCAGGGAGTGTCAGGCTGTTTGATTCAACATGATGTGATCGTGTGCCTGTGTGTCTGTACCTGGCAGTGGTCAGGTACAGACAGGAGCAGGATCTCAGTTTTGAGTGAGAATAACTTATGGTGATAATTAGATGAGCTGAATGGAGCTCTGGTAAGTCTGAACAGATACAAGGGAGTGGAAGCAGAGTCTAAATCCCTGGTAATGTGAACGACACCTTTCTAAAAGGAAAAAGTATCATGTTTGACATAAACTAGTTCATTGACAGATGCCTGCAGTATTCAACGTCAGGTTGATTAATGAGCAGGTTTGGGAATTAAGATTGAGTACAAAAGGATTATGTTCCATTTGCATATAATGATTGGTCTACTTTACCAACTTGTAATCCTCATTGTGAGGGAGTTATTCCATAAACCACAACAGAAAAGATCTGCTTGTCATCATGTGTCACAGGCATCAACTCCTTCAATAGTTTAACAAACAGAACACACACTAACTAATACACTTTCTTTTTTTAAATTTTATTTTAAAAGAAAATTCCAATCATTTTTAATGATTTCTCTAGTTGAGTTGAAACCTTTAATAACTAATATATATATATGTATATCTGTCATTGTGTGTCTGACTCCTCACTATCTATAAATTCCTTCCTCACCAACTATTCCTCTGTCAGCTGATGGTCAGACAAACCAGTGACACAATGGTCGACTGTGTGTGTGTTTGTTTGTGTATTCACCACCACAGAAAAAAGGAAGTTTGTGTTGCAGGAAGTTCATGTTGCCGGAATTTAAATTGACTTCATCCAATGATCGTTTGCAGCTAAAGGCTAAAAAACTGAAATGATCAAGTTCTCTCAACTCTTTTAGGTGAAAGGTTTGTAACCACAGAGACGATTAAATCGATGAGGTCAGTTTCAATGTCAGTCATGCTCAGTTAACTCAGCTGCGAACATGTGACCTTTTGGTTTTAATCACATTACAACTAGTTTCACACAGATACTGCAGGTTCTAGTCAGTGAAAATAGGAAATGGCTGTTTTTCTGATAACGTTTCAGCTTCAGAGCAACTCCTCGGTTTAACTGGATTGAATCATAATATTGTATTAAATATTTGCTTTGTAAAATACACGACTAAGAAAGAAACTTTGGACCATTTGATTCCAGACAATCTTTGTAGGTTTACCTTAAAAAAAGGAGCAACAACAGAAGGAGACAATGCAAAGTCCATTTGAAAATGAGGGATTTTAACTCCCTGAGGCACTGGTCCACTGCTGCCTCCTGTGGTCATTTTATGCCATGATTAGAATCAAAGAACCAAAGCACTTAAGTCACGAAATACTTAAACTAAATGAAACTTACTCTTGCTAAAATCAATGATGAACTTTGGAGTGGTAGCGTGAGTCACGTATGGACTTCCAACACCTTTTGATAAACGCTGTCTAATAGCAGGATAAAGTTCACTTTCTAATCGATGCACAGTATACAGTACAAAGTGAGGCTTAAATTTCATGGATCAAACTATCTGGAACAGAAAATAATGTTTGACTCTTCAGAGGCCCATCTACCCATAATACAACACTGACACCTGAGGTATCAGGGCTTGGCCTCAGGTTGGACAGATCTGGTTTTAAAGAGTGGATCCAGAACCAGAAAAGACCTGGAGGCTGGAGGACATTTATACTCTCCATTTATAACTTTTCAACACATGGCCTGTCGTACCTGCGTCTGTCTGTGTGGCTCATTAAGGCTGATTTACATGTCGTAAGCTTGATTACGTTTTCATGTGTTTGTATGGTAATCACACACACTGTTGGATGAGTCATAATCTATTTGATATTTATTCAACCTCTCACACCGTGCATCCTGGCCCTTTGGTTATTAATGTGTGTGTGTGTGTGGGTGTGTGTGTGTGAGATTGCCTGTTTCAGGTAATAGCTCTCACAGCAAACAGTCAAGAGAGTCCAAATACTTAATTGACTTTCTAGGCGTGTCTGTGCTGTGCTTTTCTCAAACACACACGTGTGCTCGTGCACACACACACAGCCATACGCAGTCTACCAGTCTGGTCTCACCCACTGAAAAGATTGTGAGCTCATACATACAGCACACTGGAAAAGCAGGTATTTCTAAAACACACACTTCCTGTCTGTTGTTGCATTAACCCGGCCGTGGTTTAACTACATGATTACCACACACATCTTGTGGTGTCACAACACGGTGGACGGTGATCTTCCGCAGGCTGACAGAAATAGTTTGTGTTGCCATTAAAGTGAAGTGAAGCAGAGACCTCGGCATGTGAATTAAATCACCAAGCAGTGACACAGGAAAACAACCAAACACACAGTCACAATCTGAGTCAGACACCAGACTGAAAAGGATGCACAACAGCCTGATTATACAATACCACCAAAAAAAGGCTAAACAGCCCAGAATGGAAACTTCATATGACTAAAAAAAAAAAACCACCACAACATTACTCATAGGAATTATTGAAAAGGGCAAGAAAACACAGTCAGAAACACAACAACAAACTCTATTTGCCTTAGACGTGGGACTGCCTGAAGGTCATAAATAAAAACAAAGACTGAACAAGGACTGAAATAGCATAAAACAACAAACTCAGATAGAAACCCTATTAGAAGTAGATCAAAACATGTAGAGTCCAGATGACTTTAAAAAATAAACTACATGAGAACTCATGAATGAACAGAACTCAAAATTACCACAAGAAAGTTCCTATTCAGAAACATCCGATGAGAACTCATGAATGAACAGAACTCAGAATTACCACAAGAAAGTTCCTATTTAGAAGAAAATGTTTTAATGCGTTAAATGACAGGTTTGAAATGCCTTTGGTCGAGTCTAATGGTCCTGATGATGGAGAGTGCTCTGTTTCACTTCCTAATGGCGATTTTATCATATTTATGAAACTTGAGTCTCTCCAATTGACAGAAGGCAGCAGCAGTTTCACCGCGCAGTTCACGCTTTACGCACGTAACGCAGTTAGTTCCACCGCAGTTCCCACCGCTGAAGCAGCAGCAGCAGCAGCGGTAGCCGCTCAACGAAGATGCCTTCACTTGACCCGCGCGTACACACACGCGTGAAGACACGCGCACAAAACGGGCTCACGTTCACAAAAACACACTCATCTGATCCTCATCGTAACTAGCAGCAGCTATCACACGTCTTTTACGCACCTGCGGCGTCGCGCGCTGCCCTTAACTTTATGTAGCGATATATGCAGTAACCCAGGTGAATAATGACATACATGGATAAATGAATACAGTAACCAGTGAGTAAATGAACAGAGGTAGACAGAAAGGAAACGTCTCTCACCTCCTTGTGTTGAACTGAAGCAGCTGCTGCTGTGAGAGTGACTGTGCGCGGGCACGTTGACCCACAGACCAACACCTGCAGCTTCACTGCAGCCGAAGCTGCGACGCCCAACAAGACTTCATGTTCAAACGCTGTCAAAATAAAAGCCCCGGAAAAAGCGTGAGGATAAACATGCATTTATAGAATACCAGTGTACAGTATTACACAGTTGGATTTAATTCAGCGTTAAAAACAATTACCATTTAGATAACAAAAAAAGTTGATTTGCGATTAGATTAATTCCATACAGATTCAACCATGAAAATCGCATTTTGACTTAAAATTTAACAATTCAATGATTTAACATTTAGCCATCGTTTTATTTTTTATAATACTCATGTATTCACATGATGTTGGCTTTGAGATTCGGATATATTAATTACATTTCAATATTTTGATTTAGTATTACACAAATATTGTTAACTTCAACTATACACACTGTTGGCCTTAAATAGGTAACCACTCTATTCTGGAGGTTAGTCGTATTTCCTGTCTGTCTTGTTTTTCTCCTTGTTAACTTGATAGAATCGATAACCGACTGGTTTTCCTCCGCTAAACCACGCCCATAACTTCTGCACTAAAACATAGTATATATACATGTAAAAACAATGTGTCGTGTTTTTTGTTCTTTTTAATATCGAGCCATTTGTTATTTAGGTAAACTTTAAAAAATAATTTTGAAAAAAGTTCCTAAAGCTTCTCTTTGTGTAAATGCCTCTGTATTTGCATGTCTGTGTTAGGTTGTTGCAGCTATTCACAGTAGGTTAGTATTAGTTAAAGCCCTAAAGATCAGACCGTTTTTTTTTTTATTATTATGATCTGATAGAGCTTTGAAACACCATTCTACTTCTGAGAAACAGAATGATTGCACCTCTGACATGGACCCTGGTTTTTAGTCCATGATTTTGGTCAGGGAATTCTGCAACAGAGTGACTGTTTAGTGAGCATCAGCTCCAGATTACACTACATTTTTCAGTCGTTTCTGGGCAGCTATTCTTTTCCCATTTTTGGGCTTTATAAAGTCTTGGCTTTTTTAACGCTGACATTTTTTTTCTGTGTTATGTGGATCTTCTTTGAATTCCTTGGCCAACTGAACCATTTTATCTAAGGTCGACCAATGTTTTACCTTGGTGTTCAGTTGTTAAAGTAAGAAATAATCTTAACTTGGTGATTTTTCTGTTTCATTAACTATTTTGTTTCCGTTTTTAGATTTACAGAAATCAAATACCGTCTACAGCACTTTTAAGAACACACACTTCACTAGTTGAACTGTAAGCTCTGTCTCCTTTTCCTCCTTCACCTCTTTCTCCTCAACACAAACACACACTGACACATTGATTATGTGGCTCAGCTGATTGCAGTCTTTAGCTTCTTCTCTCAACACACAAAGAACGTTTCTTGATGTGTGCGTGTGTGTATGTGTGTCAACATGGTAAGAACCTCCTCCACCTTCATTTCCCTGTACATTCCATTATCTCATATTTAAACTCTCTCTTTAGTCTCTGAAACCACCTACACACAAACTACACACACACGCATTGATACGGCCATAAACTACAAGCTGACAGAAGCATTAGTTTACATGAGAAGACATTAACCAGAAGCTCACACAAACACACACACAAGCTGCAGAGTGAATACTGAAATGAATCCTATGAATCCAGTCATCCATGTCACGCTATATCAACAATATTTCAACACACACAATATACAAAATGAACAGAGAAGATGCAATGCAATGAAGTAAAATTAATAATAGTATAGAGCAGTAAATATGATTTTTAATTGAATTATGCAAAAAATGGGATTGAAATATATCATATACCATGAGCCAATATAAAAATATATTATAAATAATATATTATAATATATAATATATTAAAAAATATTATTATTGATATGCATGAATTATTTTAAAAACTATACGAAACAACAATAATAATATTTGAGATTTTATGATGTGTAGAATTTTTTGTGTGATTTTGACAAATATATTTTTTAATGTTTCTGTAATGTTTAATGTATTCTACGGAAGGACATGGGGAATTAAATGAATAAATAAACTTTCACGTTCAGATGTTTGAAGCTGTTCTTCAATGAAATTGTTTCTGCTGAAAGAGGAACAGACGATTACGTCTGGCAGGTGTTTATCTCGTCCTTACAGAGACTCTTTGGTGGAGAGGACACTCTCGCGAGAACTGTCGCCTCGTCCCGGGATGATGGCTGGAGACCGCTGATATTAGAGGGTACTTTTGTGTTGCTATTTAAATTTTATTATTAAACTAATAGTTGCGTTGAAGGAAAGACAAACACGGAAGTTTGTGAAAGTTTTGCGACTCAGTGATGAAATGATTACATGTTATGTGGCGTTTTTTGCCAACTTGCGTCGACACCATCGCCGGCACAGAAACCATGGAACCTTCGAAATAAGAGCACTGTGTTTTCCGCGCTTTTTACCTCTTGGGAAGTCGTTAGCTTTAGCTTCTGTGGCCTCGTCAACCAGCCGCTTTGGCCCTGGGTATAGGAGAAAAAATAGTGCGTAAGACGACTTTCAATGCGGACGTGGCTGTTTTAAATGTATGTGATATACACGAACCGAATTAAAAATGGTGCACCACAGCGCTGTTAGCTTTAGCTATGAGCAATAGCTATTAGCATTAGCAGGTCAGCCGAAAAAAACCAGACGCGAGCTTTTATTTTCAAAAACAGTTTGTGTGTCTCTTTACGCTGCTCGTTCACACATGATATCAACGTTATTGCGTATTTATTGTTTACGGAGATCATTGTAATTAGAATTATGTTACCTAATGTAATTACATTTACTATTTTTATTGTTAAATGTCCTACAGATCATTTGAAAACAACCTGTAAGGGGAGGAAAAGCTGTTTTTCACATCAGACTAAAACAATATTGAGGGTAAGTTTCATTAATTTACTTTCCATTTAAGTCAATCAATGTTCAATCAATTTGTTGCTGACTTATGGTCAAGTGCCAATCTTTAGTCACGTTTACATTACTGTTGATTATATACAATTATATCCGTCGATTATATGAACAAAGTTGTGGAACTGCAAATGTGGTAAGAGTTGTTTTTTCCCCTATAGCCATTATAAAATATCTGTATTTGTCGGTAGAATACTTAATGAAGAAGAAAAAGCCCTTTCTCTGCCACCAGGAGGGCACACTCAAAAACATAATGAAACCAAAACCTAATTCTAGAATATTGAAAAAGTAATCTTCACATAAGAATTGAGAAAAAAATAAACTGTTCTGTGTTTGAATTTAAAAAAACATAGGAGCAGAGATGACCCAGGTCACCAACCATGGGAAGCTTCTCCTGCAGCGACTACATCAGCAGCGGGAGATGGATTTCCTGTGTGACATCACCATTATGGTCAGAGACGTGGAGTTCAGGGCCCACCGCAACATTCTGGCCGCTTTCAGCAAGTATTTCTACTCCCAAGCCAAGAAGGGTCAGGAGGTAGCAACTCTGGACCCTGACAAGGTCAGTCGCTATGCTCTGGAAAAGCTGCTGGAGTTCATGTACACTGGACAGATGAACGTCAGCAGGTAGGAACGGTCCCTGTTGTGAAGCATTTGTTCTGATTAACCTCAGTGACACAAACTGACCACATGTGTTCCACGATTTCAGCACCAGACAAGCAGCTGTGCGTCAAGCAGCTGTGTTTCTAGGAATGTCTGAAGCCACCATGTATCTGGAGGAAGTCCATCAAACGTCAGAACCAAACAAAACGTCTCAGTCGGACCCGGTGTCCCCTAACAGCCCAAGTTCTCCACTCCCCTTGTCCATTGAATCCATTGCAGAGGAATCGATTGGGGATAAACAGGAGACTAAGGACCAGGAAGTTGAGCAGAAGGAGGAAGCTGGAGGTGTGGACGAAGAAGGAGATGGAAGTGATGAAGAGTACACACCAACAACTGCTTCGGGCGCTACACAGGGTCTGGGAAGGAAGAGAGGGCGCCCCAAGAGCATCGGTGTTGGTGAAGAGGTGGGGGCTAGCAGCTCAGGGGAAGGCACCCCTAAAACTCAGGGATACAGAGGGAGGGGACGAGGGAGAGGAAGGGGACGAGGACGAGGAAGAAGAGAATTTAAGACTGAAGATGCGGCTGAGGATTCAGACACCAGTGTGAAGGACTTTGGTGACACCTCTGCTGACTGGAGTCCCTCCCAGGAAGATGACCCCCTGACTAAAAAGCCAAGACTCAGCAGTGGTGAAAGGCGTGGCAGAGGCCGGGGCAGGGGCAAGGGTCGGGGTCGTGGTAGAAGGCGGGGCAGAGGCAGGAGGATCGTAGAGGAGGCAGAGGAGAGCAGCGGCTCATTAGGAGCTGATGATGGGGACGACGAAATACAGGAGGAAGGAGGAGAGGGAAGTGAAAAGGATCCTACGGTGGTGGATGAGCTGTCGCTCTACTGCACCGAGTGCAAAAAAATGTTCAAAGACGGCAGCAGCCTAAGACGCCATGAAAAAATCCACAAAGGACTGAAGCCTTTTGTCTGCATCTTCTGCTCTAAAACGTTCAGACAAGCCACACAGCTGAAAACACACCTGCGCATACACACAGGTTGGATATTACACTGTTTACACATGTTCTTTGGAAAAAGTTCAAGCTCTTGTTGGACCTCGTTTTCTTTTTCAAATAAAATTCTATTTTTTTTTTCCTCTAACAGGCGAGAAACCGTTTGGTTGCAGTGACTGTGACAAGTGCTTTGCTCAGAAGTGCCAATTGGTGGCTCACCGCCGTATGCACCACGGCGAGGAGAAACCCTACACCTGTGAGCGCTGTGGCTTCAAATTTGCAACCTCGTCCAATTACAAAATACACATCAGGTACGAGCACATAATATGGTGAAGTTTGAGCTGTCAGGTTTACTGTGGAGGTTGTTTCATTTAACTTGGATTTTTTTACCACCCCTCCCTCCCCAGATTGCACAGTGGGGAGAAACCATATGTGTGTGACATCTGTGGTCAGGCATTCGCTCAGTCCAGCACACTGACCTATCACAAACGTCGACACACTGGAGAGAAACCGTACCAGTGTGATCTCTGTGGAATGTCCTTCTCTGTTTCCTCCTCTCTCATCGCACACTCTAGGAAACACACAGGTGAGTTTTTGTTAATTAACAACATTTATCTTGAAAACCAAATGTGAACTTATGTTTTCTTTCCTTCTGCCGCTGCCTCTTTTATGTGCTTTCAGGTGAAACTCCGTACAAATGCACAACGCCCAAATGTGACGCCAAATTTGTGACATCATCGGAGCTGAAAAAACACATCAGACGACTTCATCCAGGTGAGTTCAGCAAAGTCAAAACCATCGCACGGGCAACTGAGTGATGGTTGAAGTTCTCCTAACACTGTGTCTGGTCCGTGCAGAGGGGAACAGCGGCGTCCAGTGTTTGCTGTGTGGCAACAGATTTGCCAGTGTTAAGAACATGATCAAACACCAGGAAAAAGCTCACGCTGATGAAGTGAGGCAACACAAGGAGAGGGCAAGAGCAGGTGAGGGATCTCGTCTAACTTTCCCTAACCCAAAATGTTGCTGACACCAGTTGTACCAACATAATTGAGCTTTAGTCTGTTTTCGTTGGTTGCTAACTAATTGTGTGTGTTTGTGTTTAAAACAGTGGTTCTCCTGGCCTCCAGTCACCCCGTGGCCTTCGTCCAGAGCAAACTATCCCAGGACAACAAGGCCCTGGTCTCCATCCCTGAGGGTGAGCCTGTGAACCCAGAACCTGCCACACCCATCTCCAAAGCCCCGTCCACATCCGATGACACCATCACATCTGCAGCTGCTGCAGCATCTATAGACACCACTGCCATCATCCAGAGCTTCAAACCAGAGCCCTCCGATCCGGCGGTCAGCAGCTCTTCCCAACAAGTGCCCTACGACCCAGACCAGGAGCAGACCATCAACTCGGAGACACTCCACGCTCTGGTGGAGCAGCTGCGGCCACCACCGTCCCCGGCCCAGAGCCTGGAGCAGATTGTCATCATCAGGACGGTGGACACAGCTGAGAACAACGCCGCTCAGCAGTGATCGGGTTTTAAAAGCAGTTGGAACTGAAGCTAAATGGGACAATTCAAGACTTGTGGTGGACCTCCTCTGTTAGCAGTCTTAATAGTCTTTAAAGGGAGAGTCTGTCTTTTTTTGGTTTTTTTGTATGTGTGTAAGTGTATGAGGAACTGACACAGAGATGGTCCAGATGTTACCAAGAGCCCAGACCAAGGAGCACCAAGAAAACACGATATTCTTCATGGATTCTTCATTGACTGATAACATCACTGTTACTAAAATCTGTTATTATGAGGAACGTTATCACGCAAACTTCATTTCACTGACGTATTCAGGCAAGAAAAAAGTCTGTAGGAACAAAATGCTGATCACAGGGCAACTGTTGCTGTCCGTGTCCCTGTGCTAGAATCACTCTCTGGACTTTTGGTGCAGGAGGAACAGCAGCTTACAGACTCAAGTTCCAACGACAAACAAAGTCCGTAAACTGCTAAGATTAATATTATGTATTAAAGGTCTGATCTGTGGGGTGGGGCTTTCATCTAACGGAATTTAAAGGTGAAAGATTCTAAATATTAGTGTTTTGTTTATTAAACCCTTATTGATTTCTTTTGTTTGTTAAAGTGATATTTTTTTTCATGAAACATCCGGTATCAGCCACAAACCAGCTAAAACTAAAAATCGTTTAGAGGAAATAATGAAACGGCTTGTGCTTGATTGTCACTAGATTCCGTTCTGGATTTAGTTTCTTTGTAATGTTTTCTTTATCGCAGAAACTTCCCCTGTATGTGTTTGACGTGATTGAGACTTTGATTGAGTTTTAGTTTTACTGTGACACAGTTCATAGCTATGTTTTTTATTGTTGCCGAAATCATGAAACGCATTACATTACATTGACTGTTCCCGTTCTCATGAAATTTATGTCCTTCACTATATTTTTAATTTTGTTAGTTGTGGTCAGTTGCGTGTTGTCAGTTTCATAGGTGACAAACTCACTTCTGTATGGAAACTACAAGAAAATAAAACCAAAAATAACAGAGTTTGTGTCTCACAATATTTTGCTTTAAAATGAATTCAGTTAAAATAACTGTCGTGTCTTATGATGCTTACAGTCACGATTCTAAATAATTAAAGAGTTTCGAGTTTAAGGTCAAGATTTTCTACACAATATAAGTTTGAGCTTGAAGACTAAATAAACAATATAAATATTTTTTAATATGAAATAAATACACCTATACATATGTATTGTTATTGAAAAAATAAAAGATTGACATTTTATTCTACTAGTGTAAAGCACGAACAATCGCCCATCGCTAATTTGTCCCTCGGGGGTTGCTGTCCGTAGTCGTTTCCATAGAAACTGTAATACAAATAAAACACGACGATGGCGGAAAACATATGCCAGTTTTATCGAGAGTTTTGTGCCGAAAACCAAATAAAAACAAATCCGTACATTTTGCAGATTTTACAGGAGCGAAATCCGTAAGTTTACATTTGAAAGTGCTATATTATTAATTACACAATTATTGATTATGTCATTGTTACTTGTAATGTTATTTCATAAAAAGGAACGGGGAATTCGCCTTAAAACTGAGAGGAAACCAACGACTGAGACAAGTTCAGCGACTCAGTGATGACGACGTCCTCGTCCTCTGCAAGAGTCTGCAACGATTATCGTGTGTAACAGGTAAAAAAGAAATTATAAAACATAATAACTCTTATTATTATTACTGTAACAGGTAAAAAAGAAATTATAAAAAATAATAACTCTTATTATTATTATTATCATTATTTTTACTGTATTATACGTATTTTCAGTGCGTTGACGTTTATTTACTTCAGATCTTGATATAAAGTTCAACAACATCACAAATGCCGGAATCACACACCTGGCTGAGCTCTTGCAGGTAGGTCTGTAGGTGGCGCTGTTATCTTTGCTTTGTTTAAACAAATCCACAGGAACATATTTTTATTGTTTCATCAGTGAAATCATTCGTTTCTCCAGCAGGAGAACTCACGTGTTCGCACTTTGGACCTGAGTTTCAACGACATCCTGACCCACGGAGCTGAAACCCTCAGCAGGAGCCTGAAGGTTTGAAGGTGTTCCTCCTCCAAGACACCGAGGTCCACACAGAGAATCAGTCATTTTTTCATCACAGCACACAAGGGCTGCTAGTCAACAACTTCATCTATTCATAATTCGCTAGTCAACAACTTCATCTATTCATAAGTTCGAAATGAGATATTTGGTGATTTACACTTCTGTAACCCTTGATTCTGATTCATTCCTATGATCAAAATCACAGATTTTAATCAATGGATTTTGGCGTGAAAGAAAAATGCATATCCACAAATAATACCTATGATTTTTTTTTTGTTTCTAACTGTAATCCTGATTCTCTCTCTTGGTCAGAGTAACCACACCCTGCTGTCCCTCAGACTGTCAGGTAATAAAATTGGAAACGAAGGATCAATGCATATGGCCAGTTTGCTGCAGGTGAACGACACTCTGGAGGAGCTGGAGCTGTCAGACTGTGACCTGGTGAACACACACACACACACACACCACGAGCCAATCAGAAGCCACCATGACCAACTCCACCCTGCTGTCTCTCAGGCCACTCAGAGTGTGACCGCG